GACGATGGCTCAGTGGGTAAACCACTTGCCATCAAGTGTGAGGGGCAGAGTTCCAATCTCCAGAAACTCAAAAGTGGAGATGGGAATCCCCAGAGCAAACTGACTAGCAAGACTAGACATATCGGTGATCACTGGGTTTGATGGAAGGTCCTTGCCTCAATAAATAAGATAGAAGTGCCAATGAAGGAGATTCCTGACATTAACCTTTGGCCTCCACACACGTGTGCAACCACATCATACAAACATGCATATGTGGACATGTGCCACAAATATATGTGAAATAAATGCAAAAAAAACTATTACCAACTTTGACCAATTATCTCTAGCTGATTACTAACTACAGTCCAAGGTGATAAGAAAAGGCAACAAGCAGGAAGCATCCAAATAGACCTGTCCTGCCATCTCATGGCCTCACGGCATCCCAGAGTGGAGAGGCCCCTTTCCCTGTTTGTACCACCTCTGATAAGGATCCCATTCATCTGGGCTCCAGGTGACTTAATCCACTCACACATCACTATATATCCTGGGAAGATGAAAACATGAAAAACATTACACACAGCTTGGGCAAGCACAAGCCGAGCAGACAGGATTCGCTAAGGATCAGGGAATATGAATTTGAACTTGAATTATCTGATCTCCCAATAAACAGAAGGGGGAGCAGGTGCAGTGGCCCAGAGAAGGAATTAACACGGGACTGTCACACCCCACCTCGTCCCGCAAGTAATGACGCGACCACCAGAGCTCTTCTCACTGCAGTTTATTCCAGGACTTTATTCACTTTCTCTCTCTTTTCCCCTCTCTTTCCTTACTCTCTCCTCTCTCCTTTCTTCCTCTCTCTTTCTCTCTCCTTGACCTCTCTCAGCCCTTAAGTAGGCATGGGCTGCCAACCCCAAACTGCCAGGTGGGCACTGCCCATAGGTTCACGCATATGCAGGCAACTGATCATCATTGCGTGATCATAGCATAGGTCAGGCCTTAGCCATCTCAGGAGTTGACTAAACATCTCCATCAGGTGTGATTCCACGCAGCTCGCTACACGGGACAATAAGGCAGAGTTAGAATACTGGAAAACACATCTGGCCTTACAGTTAACTACAGCTCACTCTACAGGTCATAGGAGCTGGCTGTTGGTTTTAAGTTTCAATTTATGTGTGCATGTGTATGCCATAGGTGTTCAGGTGCTTGTGGAAGAGATCCCCAGGAACTGGAGTTGTGAAAAGTTCATGAGGAGCCAGACCTGGAGTTGTGAACTCATCTTGGCTCCTCTGGAACACTAAGAACTCTTTATTTTATATCAACTGATTGAGGCTTTTTATTGTTTTTGCTATACATTTTTTTCCCACTCCCCTTCTTCCCTCCCCTCTACCTTCTACCCTATCCCTGTCCCCAACGCTTCCAATTTACTTAGATCTCTTTTTTGCCTTCCTAAGTGGATCCATTATGTTTCTTAGGGTCCTCTTTGTTGACTAAGACCAAACTCTTAGCCACAAGCCAGTACCCTTGGTGCTTGTTTTTTTGGTTTTTCGAGACGGGGTTTCTCTGGCTGTCCTGGAATTAGCTCTTGTAGACCAGGCTGGCCTCGAACTCACGGAGATCCGCCTGCCTCTGCCTCCTGACTGGGATTAAAGACATGCATCACCACCACGTAGCTCTTTTCCTTTTTAAACCCTGTCTCGAAAAACAAAAACAAAACAAAAAACAAAAAAAAAGTACTTTTAAGACAGCTCCTTATAAGGTTGGCTGGCCTGGAACTTGCTAAGTAGATATTTTCTTCTTTAACAAAACACAAAGAATGTAGTTTTACTTATGTATGTGCAGGTGCCTGTAGAGGTCATCGGCTCTCTGGGAACTAAAGTTACAGGTGGTTGTAGGCTGCCTGATGTGGGTGTTCATTACTGCTGAGCCATCTCGCTATTTCTACTTTTAACACAGGATCTCATGTGGCCCTAGTTAGGCCGAACACAGGTAAATCTGGCTGGCCTTGAACCCACAACTGTGTTGACTCTGCCTCTTGAGTGCTGAGATTATAGGCGGGAGCCACAGTGCCTTAACACTATGGGTTTTCTTGCTGCAGGGCAGTTTTATTGTGGCACAGCTGACTTCTGACAAGCATATCCACCAATGTGAGGAGCTGCAATCACAGAGAATATTCCCACATCTCCCAAGTTCTCCATAGACAATCTAGCTCCCCAGCCTCAGCTGCTGTAATTGCCTGTGTGATTTTTGCCCATATGATTTGGACTTTCAAACTTTAGGACTCATGGACACTTTTCCCCAACCTTTTTTTTTTTTTTAACAGGGTTTTACAATGTGGCCTTGGCTGTCCTGAAACTCTGTGTAGACTAGGCTGACCTTGAACTCAGATCTGCTTCTCCCTCCCAAGTGCTGGAACTAAAAGGCTTGCGTCACTGTCTTCCCCCCCAGTCTTAACTTTATTTGAATCTCACTAGAATTATCTGACTGCTTGCTTTAAAGAGCACAACTGGGCCACCGAAGAACATAGGTTAGCTTGGGAAAGCTTTGTCACAGCTGGACATACGAGAGACCAAAGACGGATAGGGGAAGAACAGTGTAAACAGGTAATTGTTTTTCTAACGGCATTTCCCGTATGGCAGCGAGGCAAATAAATGATTTTACTTATATTATTGTTTTTTCGAGGCAGGATCAGGCCTGGAATCTCATGCTGGTGCATGAGCATGGAGGGTGGAGGACAACGTACAGGAGTTCAGTTCGTTCTCTTCCTCCCACGTGGATCCTGCTACAGTTACCTGCTCCAGGCCTTGAGCTCCTCCTGCCTCCACTTTTCCAGGGCTGAACTTACCACCACCCTGAGGAGGCTGGGCTGTATAGTTTGTTTTGAACTTAAAGGCCCAACCTGACTGTATTTGATAAAACCTTACAACCATAGTCATGACCCAGTCTAATCTTACCAGAATAAGAAGTTTCTTACACTCATTTTCTTACTTTTGCCCAACTGAAAACAATGAAATCACTGCCAGAGAACTGATGGTCATCCGTTGGAGGTCAGACAAAGCTGCATATTTGCTCCCGTGAGCAACACTAGCTAACCCTTCAACACAATAAAACGTCCTGTCTTTCCATGTTTCTTTTCCTTAGCAATATTCATTTCCACCACGCTGAGTTGTGGCTTTTCCGTGTACTCGGAGCACACCCCACCTCCCAGCTCCAGTCCCATCCTCTTCCTAGTTTCCCATTTTCATGTCCATTTTCTTTTTCATACTTACTGGTTTTCCTTTTCAAAGGTGTTGCTTTTGTTGGCCACCTTAACTGTTCCAGAATTTTTACAGGACTGCCTAAATACTTTGATGCAAATTTATATAAAATCATCATTCACTCAGGAGACGTGGTGAGCATTGTTAAGAGCTGCTAGCCTAATTTTCACAGCTCAAGAAGTTCAGGGATTGGACTGAGACCCAGAATCCCTAGTCAGTAATTTAAAAATGCGTAGAAAGGCTCTTGCCCACTAACAGGCATTGTTGCTGGGCAGGCTAACTGCAAACCCTGCTCTACCTTGGTAATCCCTATTTTTGTTTAGCTTGGGCCTTTCTCCGTCAGTGTGGGAATTCCATAAACGAAATGGGAGCATTTCTGGTGATCTAGTCCTCATTTAAATCTAAGTTAGGTGGGGGTGTGATGGAAGTTGCCTGTAATATCAGAACTTGGGAGGTGGGGGAAGGCAGAAGGATCTGGAGTTCAAGGTCATCCTCAGCTACTTAAGCAAAGCAATTCACAGACAGGCTTAGCTATATAAAGTTCTATCTCAAAACAACCCTCAAATTAAAAAACAAAACAAAAAATCTGGTTTATTTCTCAGTATTTACAGCTATATACAGTTTCTTGGGTAGATAGGGGGTGATCGCATTCGTATTTCCTCAAATTGAACCTTTTAATATTCTTTAAAACAGGCATATCTTAAATCATATTCAATAAAATATTGTTACAAACAGGGTCCTTCTTCTGCTAGTTTCCACGCTAAATTTTGGCACTGTACCTTTTCTTCTCCTCTATTGGTAGGCCCTTTTAAAAAGTCACAGAAGCCAAGGCAACGCTTGAATCAGGTCAGTCAGTGGAGGGGTGGGCAGATTCGGAAAATCGCCAAAGCAAGCAGTATTCTGGAACCCAGTTTCAGTAAACTTAGCTGGGAACTTGGTCCAATTTCGAATGGACAAGGACAAAATTAAGTACCAAAAGCGAACAAGTAAGAGCGGAGGCTCAGCAAGGTTAAGTCAGTTGTCCAAGGTTACACCGAGCATATCAGAAGCAGAATCCCAGGGCTGAACACGTCTTAACTGTAGGGCGCGATCTATTCTACCTACGCCACGCCACCACTGACACGTGGTCAGGGGTAGTCTCAAGTATTTGTTGAATTAGTAAAGCCTGAAAAGAAAGTTGACTGTAAGAAGCCTGGGAGAGGTCGAGGAAAAGGACATACACGTGTACACACACACACCCCACACACACACCGAAAAGCAGACCACGAGCAGAAAGCAAACCCGCCCCGAAGCCCACCAAGTTTTCCCGGCAGCGCATTCCGGCGGGCGGCGGCCCGGGAACCCAGCCTTCAGCCGGGGTGGCCGTCTAGGCCTGGGCCGTGGTCTCCCCGCGGGACCCGGGGGCACGCGAGCCCCGGAGAGGACCGCCCGCCTTTCCCTTCCGAGTCCCGGGCTCTAAAGAAGCACGCAAACACATGTCCCCCAGCGGTCCGCGATGGCCCGGCAGCCGCGCGCCCGGGCGCTGGGGAGCCACCTTCGGGGCGTTTCGCGTCCTCGTCCTCCCCACGCGCAGCGTGGCGGGCCGCGGCCTGGCTCGGGTGCTGCGGGGCCGCGGCCGGGTCGCCGCCGAGCACGGTCGCCCGCCGGCCGCGGGGCCTCGGGGCGGCGAGAGGCGGGGCGGGCGTGCGGGCGGAAGGAGGCGGAAGAGGAGGAAGAGGAGAAGGAGGCGGCGGCCCGAGAGACGGGCGGGGGGCGGGCCGGGGGAGGGGACGAGCGGGATTTGCGGACGCCGCGCCGCTGCCGGGAGCCGGCGGGGGCCCAAGAGTGACCGAGTCACGGCGGGCGCCGGCGGAGCCGCGGCCGCGTCGGACCCGCCTCCTGGAGGAGCTCAGCCCCGGCCAGGCCCGGCCCCATTCCCGCCCCGCGCCGCCTCCCCGCCGCCGCCGCCGCCGCGGGAGCGCTCCCCTGCCCACCCCGCCCCCGCGGCCGAGCCCGGGAGTCGAGTGGGAGTCGGCCGGCTGGGCGCGGGCAGCGCCGGGAGCCCGCGGTGGGGGCACACTGCAGCCGGGAGCCCGGGAGGGGCCGCGCCGCCAGCGTCTGAACTAGGATGTCCCGACATGAAGGTGAGAGCCGGGCCCCCGCCCCCACCGCCTGGGCCTCGGCCTACCCCGCCCGGGGTCCGGGCGCTGCCGAGGGCAGCGGGCTACCGGCGGGGACGCGGCCCGGACCCGAGTCGCGGGACTCGGGGCCCCGAGGCGACCGGAGCCCGAAGAGCGAGCGAGAGCGGGAGCGGCGGCCGCTACCGTGGCTTGCGGCGGCGGCCCTGAGCTGGGCCTGGAGCCGGAGGCGGGGCGGCCGGGCGGCCGGAGGCTTTGCACTGTCATGGGGCGGGAGAGGGGGAGGGGAGGCGGCGGGGCCCGTTACCGGCGGGAGCCTGGCTCTCGGGACGCATACCGGACGCCGAGGCCTGGCTGGCCGGGCCGAGAGGGAACCGCGGGGCCCCGGCGCGGCCTAGCTGCGGCGGCTCCCGGAAGAGCCCGGCGCGGGTGGCCGAGGCGGGTCGCGGGCGTGCGGCCGCGGCAGGGGAGCGGGGTCCGGGCCCGGCGGACGCGTCCGGTGTCCTGGAGACCGCGGGCGAGCGGCGGTCCTGCTTGAGGGCTGCCGGCGGGAAGGCGCCGCGGCTCGGGCAGCCCTCGCTGACTGGAGCTCGCCCGGCCTCGCGGTAGGCCTCGGCGCGTCCCTGGGCTCGGGTAAGCCAAGTTCCCGGGGCGGATCCAGCCCGGCCGCGACGAGCAAACTCGCTGCTCCGTCACCCGGTCGGAGCGGAACTCGCTCCCGGCCGGCCCCGGCCCTCGCCCGCGTGCGCTACCCACCACAGCAGTCTTACGGTCGGGGGGCGTTTGGACTTCCGCGCTGCCCCGTGAAAACACGCTAGGGTTCTGTGGCTGCGAGTCAGGCCACTCAGGTCTCGGCCCCACGGCACAAAGGCACGAGTGTTGGAAGGCCGACGGCTGGGCGATGAACTGGTGAAAAATAAGTTAACTTGAATTTACTACCATATGGTTTAGGAAGGGGGAGGGGGCTGTGTGCTCTTTGTTTCACTTCAGCAGGTTTTACTTTAAAAAGTAGTCACCCGACTTGGTGAAAAGTTTATTTCACTACGGTTAATGGAAGCTTGTAGAAGTGACTTGAAAGTACGGTGGCCTTTAGATTCTCAAGTCCTGGGGAGGTGTTTGGGAGTGGAGAAAGTTTGTGGAGGATTGTAGGGTGTGCTTTACCGAGGGAAGGGCTTTCTTAGGGAAATACAGACCAAAGATTTCCTAGGTTGTAAAACTCTGATTAACATATATTTCGTGTGTGTTTCAGAATTTGCATTCCTAATGGCAAGATTGAGATTAACTCTGAACATTTTGTGTTCACGGATTCTGTATTAAAAAAAAGGGAAGAGACTTCTTGGCTCATTTTTGATTACTAACTGTTCAAGTGTTGTGGTAGCAGGGTAATTATTTTAGCCCCAGTCAGAAACAGAAATATTTGGAACTCTACCTGTTAACCCATTTTGTATGCTTAATGGGAATATGTTTCTTATCGCTGCAGTTTGAAAAAAGTTGTAATTAAGGTCAATAATCAATTCCATTTGGAGATGTTAAGGTTAGCCTTAAATTGCAGCAGTAGGGGTATTGACCACCTTCAAGACAAAATGAAGGTTAGCATTGGCTGCAGGCTCTAACTCAGGAACTAGATTAAAAGAACAGAATCCCAGTCTAGGGAGATGGGTCTCTGAGATCTTTGCCCCTCACCTTAAGGAAGCATCCAGATCCAGAATATTCTTAATGAGCAATAGCCTGGAAAAAAGAGTCCTTTACCCCCAGATAGTGTACTAGAGTCATTAAAATGGCTTAGGTAGATACAATATCCTTCAATAAAAGACACACTGCAATTTAAGCCTGCCTTTCCCTATTTGGGCCTGGAAAAGGTGCTTTTATAACACCTGTGTTGCCTTTTAGTTGCTTGACATCTTGAAACTTGCAACACCTTTTTTGGCAACTTAATGCCAGATGTTTCCTAAATGGATGTTGAGAATATTGTACAGTGTTTTAACACGTGATTTTATATTTCTATAATACATTAATTAAATTTATTACTTTATTTACTTGAGCCAGGGTCTCACTAAGTAGCCCTGGCTGGCCTGGCCATGAATAATGCTTGCCTCTGCCTCCCAAGGACTGTGGTTAAAGTTATATCCCAACAGACAGTTGTAGTCTAAGGGTCTAGTCTTTGGCCTAATGCAGGAATGATAGTTTTTTGAGAGATTTCTCTGTTTTGTATATGTCAGGCAGTAATTATTTCCATCAGGAAGGATTTGACATATCAGCAAATAGAGGTTATAATCCCAGGTTTTCACTTATATTTCTCTTCTCAGCTTTGAAAAAGCTATTTGTTTTGTTCCAGCCTGCTTTGTTTGTTTATTTTTCCAAGGCAGGGTTTCTCTGTGTAGCCCTGGCTGTCCTGGAACTTGCTTTGTAGACCAGGTTGGCCTCAAACTCAGAGATCTGCCTGACTCTGCCTCCTGGGTGCTGGGATTAAAGGTGTGCGTCACACTCTCTGGCCTCAGCTTTGTTTTTGAGACAGGATCATGGTTTTGGTTGACCTGAGTTTACTATGTGCATTAGACTGGCCTCACACTCAAAACCACTCCCTCTATCCGCCTCCCTCCTGTGCCACTATACCTAGCCTAGCATTTTTTAGTGGTTTGGTTTTTGAGCTCTTTAATCAATCTGCCCTCCAAATTCTCTGCAGTTTTTTTCCTCAGGACTGTGACCCAGAACTAATGTAGTCTAGTACAGGGCAGAGCCACGCTGTCTCTATTGCTCTTGTCTTCTTGCTTCTCCAGGCTTCTGTGCACAAGGAGCTTGCTACTTTGTCTTCTCTCGGCTCTAACCAATGGCTGGGTAGTATACAGATGATGATGTTTTGGACAACACAGCCCCAAGATGAACACCTGTCAAGAACAAGCACTGGATTGCTCTAAGAAAAATGGATGCAGCCAAGGACAGCGAGAAACGGTCTAGGCCAGGGTTAGCATACTTTCTCCAAAGTGAAGGCCCAGGTAGAAAACACTGTATGTAGGCTGAGCCAGCTATAAGATCTGTCACTTCCACAGTGGTCATTTGAAAACCAGCTAATCAAGTGCTTGTGGCCATCTTCCAATTAAAACCTTATTTATGGACACTGACATTTGAATTTCATATAATTTTCATGTGTCATGAAATATGATTCTTTGAAACCCTGCCACCACCACCATTTAAAAACCTAAAAGCCATTCTTAGCTAGTACGGCCAGTCAAGAACTGGTGATGGCCACAATTCATCCAAGTATTGGAGTTTGCCTGACTCTGCCCTTCATAGAGGTTTAGAGTTGGGCAGCCTGGAACTGTAGTGAGACTGTACCCTTCATATGCCAGTTTTTCCACTGGGCCATGAGCAAGTGCGGGATTGAGCCAGCTCCAGCACCTCATGAGGCAGTACCACAGAGATGGGAGAAAGGAATGTGTCTGTGGAGGTAGCAGTGCCCCATGACAGAGAAGTTCCTATTTGCTATGTGACTTTACTGAAGAGAATTGCAAGGCCTTTTTTCATTTCGTTTTGAAATGCTAACATAACAGACACTTCCCAGGTCCCAGCACCCAGTCACTGTATGTTCTTTACGTCAACAATCTCTAGTTCCATTTCTTACACACCAAACCCAGTCATTTTCTGTTTTCTCTGTTTAGCTTTTAAAATGTCTCTACTAGGGCTGTAGCTCTTTTGTGGAGTACATGCTGCTGTTGTGTTCTCCTGCTTCTTGTTCTTTTTGAGATAGGGCCTTAGGTGTCTCTGGCTGGCTTTGACAATGTTGTGACCAAGAGTGACCTTGAGCTCTTGATTTCTTCCTTCTACTTGCCTGCTCACGATTAATGGGATTAATGGAGCGTTAGGACTTGAACTCAGAGCTTCAGACTGCTGGGTAAGCATTGACCAGCTAAGCTCCATCCCTGGCTTTGCAGTTCGTGGTTAACCTGCATCATAAAGCTCTGGATTCACCACCAAAAAAAAAATAAAGCCAGCTGTGGTGTCACCTGGCTCTTAGCTCTAGTAGCTCGTCCGATAAGGCTGGAGGAGCCTTTGAGCCTAGGAATTTAATGCCAGCCAGTTCTGTCAAGAGACAACAAACATTAAGGCTTGTGCTTGTATTTCCAGCACCCTGTCAGGAAGCTGAGGCAGAGTTTAGAAGTCCAGGCCATCCCGCGTCACACACACACTATCTTAATGTCATGTTTTGGTAAACAGCATATTTGAAATGTATGCTATTAAGAGTTTATAAAAGTCAGGAAATAGCTTTGTAAATAAAAACCTGTCAGATTACTCAGCTCATTAGCTCAGTTATGAGTGTTGTGGTTGAGTGTGTGGACTAACAGATAGCTCTAAATCCTTGGGCTGTTTGCTTACTGTGTAAATGCACTGCTAGGTACCAAGGAATGTGGAGAATAAGGAAACAGCCTTTCCCTTTAAGCTTGGTAGGAGAGGTGGTTTGTAGATAGTTTCCCAAGTGAGCACTGCCTGAGGTGGGCCCCAAGAAAGGCAATAAGCAAGTGGATGTCAACTGCTTCCCAACTTTGCTCCTGCCTCTTTGGCCCAGTTTTCATTTATTTCGTGTGCATGAGTGAGGGTGTGTGTGTGTGTGTGTGTGTGTGTGTGTGAGTGAGTGTGAGAGAGAGAGAGAGAGAGAGAGAGAGAGAGAGAGTTGGGCCAGCTTTAGAACTGAGTTCTCCCCTTCTATTGTATGGATCCTGGGCTCATACTCTGCTCACCGTGCTCAGGTGGCAGGTGCCTTTACTTCCTGACACATTTTGCCCTGTTTGCCCAATTTTAGAGAGGGAACTTATTTCGATTTTAATATCTTGAGTGTTTTTTTTTCTCTTCTGTTTTTTTTGGGGGGGGGGATGTGGCAAGGGACGGGGTCTCTTGTTGCACAGGCTGTCCTTGAACTCCTGTTCTTCTACCTCAAGTTTTGGGATTACAGGTGTGTTCGTTACTATATGTACCCACTTTCAAATACTTTTAAAGTTTGTTCTCTGATACTG